CTATAGAACTCCTTTCAATTTCTTGCTTCTCTGGCACCTGCAATCTTCAAAAACTTGAAACAATCACCATGTTCTATCTTCCTGAACCCTGCTCCTTTATTGTCCTTTCTTCACTAAAGTATTCTCATTCTCTTTCACTCCCTATAACCCCTGTATCCTAGTGGCATTATCACCTTCCTTCAGGTGAAATGATTAATAAAATGAACAATATTGCTTATTTTAATGGTAAATGTTCATTTGAGCTTGCACAATATATAAAAAGACACTGAAATTTTTTTCACTTGACCTGATATTAAATTCTGACCAGAGGATCAAATTTTAGATTTTTTTTTTCTTTTTAAGGATTTCTTGGTCATGTCAAGAACTTATCAACAACCCCATCAAAAGCATTTCTGCAGCCTTCTGGTAACAAAGTATTTTTAACCATTCATCCCCTCTCACAGATGAAATGTCACAAGTCTCTCAGATATATATCACTGTTTCCATAGCAAATGTTCAAATGAACTACATTCCTTAGTTCCACCAATTCAAATCTTTACAGCTAGGACCCATCATGTCAGTAGAGTAGTAGACTGTTGAGATGATTTTTCTCCCACTCACTACACTCTTGACCTTATGGGATTTAAAGGTTGCATGTTGGTGTATGGTAGGCTGTATACATGTTCACATATAAACAATTAATGTGGAAGCTACTAAATTTCGGGTTTCTACTATGGACCATTTTTTTTGTAGAAACTGTAGGGGAAAAAAGTTCTCAATGTCTCTTGGCTATGTTTGTATTTTTGGCTCCAGATGTAAGACAGGATAATAAAGGATAAAAATGGTTATAATGGTCAAGCTCAAGTCATCTTTGCACCGAGTTGGAATGACCAAAGTATAGGTTATACTTCATCAGTAGGTTCTGTCAAAACCTGTCTGAACACTATGCATTGGTCCAGAAGTAAGTTAAGGTAAGTTGTGATGAGCATGGTTATAACGGTTGATCTCAAGTCAGCCTTGCACTGTGTTGGAATGACCAAAGTAAATGTTTAGCATTTCAGCAAAACATGTCTGAAATGGAAAGAGAGATCAGTTGTTAGTCAACTGGAGAAAAGAAATGTTTCCCTGCAGGGACATCTTCATCTATGCTCTGCTACATCTTGGAGTAAGAAGAAGAAAGAGAAAAAAAAGGGAATGTTTGTCTTTTGTCTTCATACTGTGGGTCTCTTGGTCATTGTGCCAATTTGAGTATAATGTTGCATACTCCCTTTTGTTCTCTCAGTGACGGGGTCAATTCCATATTAAAGATGTCTTCTCTTTCTTCTCTCATCTTCTTCTGGCCAAGTAACAAAGTTTTGGGTGTCCAGAGATGAAAGACATAAACAAATGGAATTTGAAATCTTAACTATTTTTATTCACCATGTCAAAATGTACATTTCTAACTATCCAGTGAGGTTACTTTATCACCCCCATTTGGAAGAAAGTTCCAAGACACAAAAAACTATATCTACATTGTATGACGTGTAAAACTTAACTCACTGAAATCCCTTTTTACATCCAACATTACCATGCTAGTTTTAGCAAATCAAAAATGACTTCCTTTGTTTTCCTGTATCTGACCTCAAAGGTCAAAATGAGAAAGTCAGACATGAAACAATTCTCTAAAATAATAGTCTGCTAGACTATTATTTAACATTTTTACAGAAATTAAACAGCTCCACATAATAGGTGTCTGGCAAATACAAGTGCAGTAATAAAATTGTGCAGATGACCAATAACCTTTCTGTTTCCTTTATTACTAATATCGTGGGAAAACAGATTTATTTTTTTATTCTTTATTATTATTTTATTTATTGACTTTTCCTGCAACCACTTGAATAAATCTAGTGTCAAACGTTATTTATTCTATATATCTTGTAATCTGTACTTACTTCCTCTTCTTAAATTCATACAACTTCATTCACTCTCCCTTGAGTGTCTCTTGGGTCTTATAGTGAGTGAACATTTTAATAAAAAATACTTCCTTATATATATATGTAATAAGTGAGAATATGTTAAATATTATTATGATATGTAATTAAGTAAAAAAAAAAAAAATACAAGAAATTATTTAGTTTAGACAAATTTCCTGCAAAGTGTTTTATCAAATTATTAAACAGCAATTGCAAATCAGTACATAGGGAAACAAGAATAAGTTAATATTGTAAGGTTTCAGTGTGGAATAATTTCTGATTTTGAAAGAGTTTAATTAATTAGATCAATAGTGTGTTGAACATGCAGTAAATATTTACCTTGGAGTTGTTAATTTCAAATAATGAAAATTTATTTGAAAGAAAACTCACATGATATTTCTTTCAGAAACCATGACACTTTGAAGCTTGATATTTACTTCTTCTTTTATGTACCATGTCCCTTCATGATGTCGTGATCATGGCCCTCTACATCTTCCTGTCCCTTGTAGTTCTTAACAAGTTTTGTCTTTTTGTTATTTCTCCCAAACTGTCTTGCCATCCATTTGCTCAAACTCATCATGTTATGCACTGCTTTCCTCTTTCTCTCTTTCCCTTAATCTGTCCCATGTGAATCAGATTTTCCAAGTCAACCTTCCTCTTTACTTATCTCAGAAATTTCAACTGCCTCTTCCTGATGTTAAGTATAAGTTTTTTTTTTTTTTTTGGTTTCCATTCTCACCAAAACCTTATTGTTGCTCACATGTTCATCCCATTGTATCCTCAGCATCTTTCTGTAGAACCACATTTCTGTTGCTTCAAGTCTCTTCATCATCTTTGAAGAGATTGTCTAGCATTCACTGCCATACAGAAAGACAGATATCATGTAACAGTTCAGTACTCTTTTCTTTGTTTCCAACAATTTTTTCTGTTTCTTAATACTCTCCTTTTGGAATGCATTTTTGGTCATCCCATTGTCTTCAAATCTCAGTGTTGCCCTTTCTGTCCTCTGCTTGAACACTTCCCATATATTTAAATTTCTGTATCTGCTTGATTTTAGTATTCCAACCAGTCTACCACAGAAAGAAATGGCAACCTACTGAGGGAAAATCTTCTCCCTAGTCAGTTATGAATTGAAAGAGATGTGATCGCCCAAGTGTGTATCATGTATGGCACTTAACTGACTGAATGTAATCAATCCTGACCTGGCATCTCAACTTCAGTCACTTTCTCACTGACATGAAGTGGCTTCCCTCTGTCTTTTCTACAAATATTTTCATGACAATTGTTCTGATGAGCTTTCCTTCTTGGTGTTTCAACTATATGAATTTAAGCATGAAAATAGGTCCAACTGTTTTACTGTTGAATTAGTTAAATGCAACTGTATGTCCTACTCTAATAGTTTCTTTAATTTCACTTCTCACCTGTGAAACTCCCTTATGATTTCTTGTTCCCTGTTATTTACTATCTTAAAAAAATTTAAATGAAATGCCAATCACCATTTTTTATCTTCCTGAACACTGTTCTTTTACTGTTTTTTTCTTGTGACAAAAATCTTCTCATTCTCTTTCACTCCCAGTAAACCTTCCATCCTAGTGGCATTATAGCCATGCTTGTAGTGAAATGATTACAACAAAAAATTATCATGAAGCCAATAATTCAATAAGACTGTAAGTATACAATATATACTGCATCTATAGTAACAATGGACATGTCTAAAGACTAGATAGCCTAATAATTTCTCTTCAAGCTTTCTTTCTTGATTTTCAAAATTTTAAATGCAATCTCAGTCGTTATCTTCTAACTTATTAATTCCTTTTATTGTTCTCGCTCCTTAATAATGTTTTTTCTCATCTCCTCTCACACTCAGTAACCCCTTGCATCTTGGTGGCTTTAATGGTTTGCTTGGGGTGAAATGATTAAAACAAAAAAGTGCCATCTAAGACTAGAGAACCCACTTCAACTTGCTTTTTAACACATAGCAGTGTAGAAGTAAATATAGATTCATAACATTCCGAAGGGTGTTAGTGTAAATGCCAGTATAAGAAGCTAAAAAACATAAAAAGTTTCAAAACATGTTTTTGACTTTAAATACTCATTTGTTTTTAAATCGTTTTCTCCCCAAACAAGGCAGTAAAGCCACTAAGATACAAGAGGTTACTGAATGTTAGAGAATCACAAAAAAAGAGACATTATTAAGGATCAAAATAAATAGAAGAAAGTAATCAAAAAGACAATGGATAATGATTGATATTGCATTTAAATTTTTAAAGAGAAAAGTTGAAATTTCCACAAACATAAAGTGCAAGAAAAGAAACTGTTTTCATAGAACTTTTGGTTGTTTCTAGCCAATTCAACTGTAAGTCTAGTTGCCAATTGTCATTAAATTCATAATGTCTTGGTACCATAGAGAAAATTTCATCCAAACAATTACCATGAAAGCAATTATAGAAAAGGCACAGGGAAGCTACATTATGGCAGTGAGAAAATGATGCCAGGGGAGGACCAATAATATTGCTGATTCTTCTTTGGATCATTAGAATACATGTACTCCATTCTTGTTATATTGCCAAAATAAAAACAAGTTCCTGAGTCCTTTTGCTTGAAATTCTTTATAAGTATAAATATTAATTGCAGAATATGATATATAAATATCTTTATATCAGAATAATTTTGGGTAATTGAATGACAAAAGGTAAAAATTCTATGTAACATTTTTCATACTCTAAAATGAAATCTGAAGCAAGAATTTACATTTAAATACAAGATTATATGGACACAAAAAAGATCTTTTACAAATTTGTTTATTCTCTATGGCTTATCAACCCTTTTACAGGTTATTTAAAGCCAGAAAATATTTTTAACTTGTAAGAATATTTTTAGAAATAATGGTTTAGGGATACAAGTCTTACTAATTAACCCATAGCAGGGGTGAGAAGAGATGGATTCACAACTTTTCTTAAGAGTATTTGTGCATGTGAGTATAACAAAACCAATGGGAATTGAAACTTGACTCTCTGATTAACAATTCTCAGCCATTATTCATTACACCACCTACATATTCAAGCTTAAAGCACCTGGTATTCCCAAGTGGTCACCCATCTAAGTACTGACCAAGCTCAATATTGCTTAACACTGGTGATTGTACAGGAACTGGTGTTTCAACTTGATGTGGCTGTAAACCACTTTTTTTTTTACAAAACAACAAACTCAATGCATTAGTCATTCATTGTAATGAATGACCATAGTTTTGATTTAAAAATTACTGCTTTAATTAAAAGTGGAAGTAATATACATAAAGTGCACTGATTTCTGAAATTTTTTGCAACATTTCACCTTCATAAATTATCTGTTGTTGCAGATGTTTAAATACAGCAATGACAAAAAAAATGTATAGAAAGTGCACTGATTTCTGAGAGTTCATTTCACCTTAGTAAATCATCTGTTGTCGCAGATATTTAATGGTGATAGAAACAAAAGTTTTAGCAATTATAATACACCAATTTACTTGTGCAAGTGATCTTATCTTGGTTACTATTATCACAATCATTTGCCTGTTTTACTCTCTAACCTTTTTCAAAGAAGGACAGAGGAAAACAACTTTTAACCGACTTAGTGTGAAAGAATGGCAGAACAAGGTTTAGGAGAATAAAAGAAAGACAAAATTTATTAAGAGCTATGAGGGAAAGGAAGTTGTGGAGAGCCATGATTGCCTACATCCTGAAGGGCCACAGCAAATGAAGAAGAATCAGATATGAGGATGTGTGAGCAGTGTAGTGGATATCAGCACAAAAAGGGGAACCAGTGAGTCAAGTTCAAATTCCAGTTGAGTTTATTGCATTCATTGTAATACCATCACTTCATCCCCACAACTTTTGTCTAGACTTTTGAGCTGAGGAATTGTCATTATTATACACTGATTTGCTTGGACAAGTGATTTCATCACAATCTTCTTCATGTATTTTTCATAGCTGGTAATCTGCCAGGAATTTTTAACCTAAAATCCTTTATTGAATTCAGGGAGTAGATTGTTCTTATTCTACTGTCCATCTTGAGAAGGGACTGGAATTAGTATCTTTTGTCCAGTGGTAAACAAAAAGAGTTTTTGTTACCCAGTGTATTTAATATAAGACTTTGCCTTTGTTGTGGCCTGTTAGAGGCCAGAAAGAAAGATACGGAAAGAAGAAGGTAGGTTGAACAAGTGTATTGAAATAACAAAACATATATTCAAGTGTATTGAAATAACAGAACAAAATAAGTGTGTTATTAGTCAGCAGATAGTAGTGTTTGTCCAAACTGTCAGGTTACACTGTGTCCCGACTGCCTGCTTAGAAAGTCTCACAGGTTAGAATTTATGGAGGAGGAAGAGTTAATTCTAATGTAGATAGGTCACCATAACAGTCTTCCCAATGCACATAATTTCAAGTCCTTATGTTCTAGAAAAAATACCAGATTTGGGATCAGTAGACTTTCATAGTAGACAAATGTTTTTTTTTTCTACTCAGTGTTATTAATACAATATGTTTCACCCCAAAATTACACATAATCCCAAATCCTGTGACACTCAAAAAATCCTGAGTGTGTCTTCAGTAGCAGCATACTTGATTTAGGCTAAAAGATTCACTTTTTACCTGTGGAATATTTCTTTATTTTTACCCAGTGTAATCAGATACAATGATATGTGGGTGGTGTAAGTCATATCAATGAACCAAGTTCAA